ATGTCTGCACAGATACTCCATAGATGTAGGATTGTTTCCTTATCTAGCTGTTACTAGCTGGATATGACAGCAATCATCTCATGCCTATGTCTACGCCTAAGAGCTGGTGTGAAAAATGGTTCATGTCAAAAACAGCTTTTTCCATTCAAACGCAGCACTGCTCAAACACGTGTTCAAATGCAAAATGCAATGTTTGACAAACAAATTATGCATTTGACTTGCATTGCCTGCAGTCCAAATGAACCTCAAAAGGACCTGCTTGTACCTGAAGAAACGCAACATGAAGCGGGTGAACCCCAGCCTCCGAACTGTCATCGACTCTACTCTGATGACCTACGTTCAACATGAAATTCAAACATATAGCAAGCAAAAGAAAACAATACATACAATACAACATATACGTGTACATAAGCCCTAAAGCTGATCACACATAAGACGGTTGGATTGTTTAAGAGCCTTTAAATATGTTATCAGCTATATAATGTGAGGGTGTACCTAATTGGATAGAAACTATATAATTGGTAAATCTTAAAAAGAGTATATACTTAATAAGCTGCCAAATTGTACAATGAGATTGTACTGTGTGGCCAGCTTAAAACATGCTATGCAGTTATTGAGAAAGTACTTTTGGCTTTCAGGAGGAATTCCTGGTACAGCTGGATGACAACATCTATGCACATACACTCAAACACACAGTAAAAACTGCATGGCAAAGTGAGTTTAAGACATATAAGCTGCTTTATATATTTGCAAATATTTTGTTTGTGAAAGTTAAAGGAGATCTAAAGTCTCAGCATACACTTACATGTAACATCAGCAGAGTAATAGCAATACAAATGATAGTTCTTTTTGACAATCCAATCTAAGCTTATTTTAAAAATATCCTTTCATTGTGAGAGCGTTGCCTATCTGCTGGACATCTCTTCCTGGCTTCCCTACATGCTTTGCTACCTCTCCCCTGCTCATTCCTTTGGTTTACTTTTGATTTCTTAGGACCAACACATGATGTCCCATATGGGGCATTTCCTGTACTGACTGTGCCTCCTGAAACTCCTCCTCTTCAGCACCTCTGTAGTTCAGAAGGCAGACTCTGTGATATGGGTGACACAGCAGTGCATATTCACAGGGCATAGTGAATACATGTCACTGCATCTCAAGGCTTGTTCACAGCATGTTCAGACCAGAACAGTTTGTTCCGGACCAAAAAAGCATCCCAGTGTATGCCTATGGTATTTCTGGGCTCTGTTCAAACCAGCGCAGTCCGTTCCGGTCCAGACAAAAAAAACTGGTCATCTCATTTTCTTTGTTCTGGAATGCACTGGGACGTATAGAAACGCATAAAAAATGCATACAAACCTGTGCAAACGCACTGGACCTCACCTGGAAAAAAAAACCCGCTTTGGAACATTGCAAAAAATTCACTGTACTGCACTGCATTTACAGATCTGCTCCAGGTCTGGTCCGGACATGGTGTGAACATAGCAGTAAATTTGGGAGATTCTTCAGAAAGTTCGTTTTCACACTTCAAGATCATTCTGATAATGGAGTAGGCGAGAAATATTGGCAAATCCAATGGAAATGTGGAAATGAATAAGTGATCTTCAGTTTTGGTTATTTTTACACTCTACGCTTTGCCTGTCCCTCCCATTTTCCTACTGGCCAGTTGTTCCTTTTGGCATCTCTGATTTTCTGCCTATTCTGGTTTAAAGGAGAAATGTACCTTTGGCATGTGTTAGTAAAACTGTACATGTACTGTCAAACTACTAAGTATATCAAGGACAAATTGGCCCTTCATTTGGTGGTAAATGATCATAATAATCTCCTGAATTGCTTTGCTATCAAACGAATACTGGGCCAAAATAGTCGTTTTTTAAAACTTTAACTGTATATTTTTTGCCATTACCATGACCCACCACCAAAAAAAAAACTAAATACGGTACATTTTCCTTCTCCTGGCGTTCATGGCGATACTATGTTTGTGTGCATTACTTGTTTGTATCCATAGTAGGGCCCGGAGACAGTGTGCATTTTGCTTTATTTTTGTAAAAAAATGTTTATCCTACCTAAAACAAACACTAAGGGGGTTATTCACAAAGCTGCTGAAGGATCTAGCCGTAGCTTCGGCTGATCCTGCGGCTAGCTTCGGCCCCAGGACCTCTTCGGTTCAGGGCTGCTGTACGGGCTAGTCACTATAGCCCGTACAGCTCACGAAGTTGGCCGAGGGGTTCAGTCGAGACGAAGTCATATGCTTCAGCTCGACTGATCCCAAGGGAAATTGGAAGCTGGCCGGCCGACAGCCTGCTAATGGGTCTCACGGCTGGCTCCAGCCACTCGCAGATTCAGATCAGTGTCTCTGGTTACCAGGTAACCAGGGATGCCGTTCTGTCATTACACTGAGAACCCGTTGGAGCTGCAGTGATATCACAGCGTCTCCGCCGAGTTCTGTGTGTAATGACAGAATGGCGTCCCTGGTAACCAGGGATGCCCATCTGTCATTACACACTGAGAACCCGGTATAACCATGATATCACAGCGGCCCCGTCTGGTTCTCAGTGTGTAATGACAGATGGGCATCCCTGTTTACCAGGTAACCAGGGACGCCATCTGTCATTACAATGAGAGCTTGGCAGAGTCGGCTTTCATATCCCCGCCGGCTCCGAAAAGCTCTCATTGTAATGACAGCTGGTCCCGGCCAATAGAAAACAGTTGGGTGGAGCTATTTTTCTATTTATTTATTTTTTTACTTTTTTGGACTGGTTTTCTATTCTGCTCAGTAGCACCAGAGGTACCAAGCAGAATAGCCGAGCCGAATGCCGCTCAGCGGCATTCGGCTATTCACTCACTGCTGTTCGGCATCTATGAGAATAAGCCGAACAGCAGCAAGTAGCCTGCCGGAGGTTCGGCTCAGCCGATCCAGATGTTTTATCGGCTGACTCGAACTCCTTCTGCACTTCGGGTCGGCTGAACATGCTGAACATTTTCCGCCGACCTAAAGCCACCCGATGTACGGCTGATTTCAGCCGTTATACGGCTGAAATCGGCCGTACATGTCTGAAGTGAATAGTCGAACAGTGTTCGGCTCAATTCACTTCGGGTCGGTTATTCACTCGGCTGCCTACGGCAGCTTTGTGAATAACCCCCTAAGGCTTCGTTCACACTTGCCACTTGTGTTTTTATGCAGAGATCTGTCTGCAAAATCTGTCAGGCTAGATGCCTTGTTTATGTTTCTAGATGCTTAAAATGATGCATGTTTACATGCATATGCATTTAGATGCATCTGTCCTTTGTCCATTGAAACAGTCCTTGCGTTTACATGAGTTTTGGTGAATTTAGTTGTTTCAATCAATTCCTGGACGCACCTGACTTCTATTTTTTCTAAATGCAGCTAAACTGACGGCAGATAAAAACATCTAAATGTAAGGTGTGAATAGAGCCATTGGAAATCATTACATGCATATATATGTGTTCAGAAACCCATTTTAAATGCATATAATCGCACCTAGTGTGAATGTATCCAAACACTCATACCAACCTTTTTTATTCCAACTTAAACACACAGACACTAATCTGGATCAAGCCCTGATCTAACATTTTTGTCTTCATATTTTTTTACAGGCTTTGTAAGAGATACATTGTTCTCTTTCTCTTGGGGAGAAAGAGGAACTAGGAGAGGTGTCTTTTACTAGTGATCACCATGATTGGCTAGCACAGAAATCATGTGATTTGGGGATAGTCCTCTTGGCTCCCGATCATTAGTCCAAGGCACAATTAATCGTGTTCTCAGCACATAAACATGCCATATACATGTGGTGCCTTGGAAGAAAGCCCACTTCCATGACACTGCATATATGTGTTATGCTGTTGTACTGTGTAGTATTGGGCCAAGTGGGTACAGCCCACTTGGTCTGATACTGACCTTCATCCTCAACTCTTTCAGTATTTTTCACTGTTTAGGCCTTTCGTGCACCACACAGCCTTGTTTCTCAAAAATGCATGCTGTGGCCTGTATCTTTTCTATGTGGAGCTGTACTCATGGCAGCCTTCAGGGATCCTGCTCTTCGCATCCAATGGAAATGAATGAGGTTGCAGCATGCATGTACTGGCTGAAAAAGACAAGGTGAGAATAGTGAATATCGCTGAATTGAGTATGAAGATGGATATTGGAACACGTGAGATGCACTCAGCAGGAGGCTGCATTCAAGTACAACTTATACCAAAGGTACAGTTGTCCCTAAAGGACATGTACTCCTGTTGCATTTCAGATCGTGAGCAGTGGCTGGGCATGGCACTGGGCTCTAGTATTTTGCAGAGTTACCCAAAAGTGCTGCCTCTGTGCATTAGGATCTAAATTCTAGGGTCTAGATTCAAATACATATTCAAATCATTCTCCTTTTTTTTCCATGTTGGGGCATTGTACAAGCATTGTACTGAAAAGGCTGATTGCACTCACACTAACAGAGCAGGGGATTCAGGTTCTTGCTGGGACTATTGGCATTCCATGGCATAGTTGGTTAGATTCCCAGACTAGTAGAGCAGGGGATTCAGGTTCTTGCTTGGACTATTGGCATTCCATGGCATAGTTGGTTACATTCCCAGACTAGTAGAGCAGGGGATTCAGGTTCTTGCTTGGACTATTGGCATTCCATGGCATAGTTGGTTACATTCCCAGAAAGACTTGGAGGATACTTTCCTGCAATTGAAGAAAATTGTGATTCGCTTCATGTGTTTGCCTCTGCCCGGTTTGAAATTCCACAGCACATGAGAGGCGGGTCACAATTTTCAATATGTCAGAAAATTTCCCTGAGCAGCTTCTAAACTCAACAGGGTCAATCTGCAATTATAAACATTCAACATCCGCAAAAGGTGGAGCTTGCCAAACAACAGAGGGGTTTCTTTTACCAAAACTTCAAAAAATACGGATTACCTCAGCATATCTAGAAATATTTGGATAGTAATAATTGTCAAACAGAACTTTTAATGGTGTTCTTCTTTATCCACAGCAAACTACAACATTAGTGCCCTCGTCACCATAGCGACCAAAACATTCCTTCGTTATGACAAGTTGCAGAATCTAATAGACAGCATCAGGAGATTTTACCCTACTGTAACCATCATTATAGCTGATGATACTGAAAAACCCCAGAAAGTTGAAGGTGCTTATGTTGAACATTACATCATGCCATTTGGAAAGGTACAGCATTCAATGTATTGTTTTTTCTTGATTTTATGTTTTAGTATTTTCTTCATTGTCTTTGGTAAACAATATATTTTGAAGGGATAAATGCTAGAGAGAAATACTGTTTGATTTCTGGATATTGTTTTAATTCTCTGGCACAAACTTAACGAGACACTGTCATTGTGACAGGGCCTCTGGAAAGGACTCCACAATACCCCACTTCCAGCAATTTCTTCCTGCTCCTTCTATCTCTGCAGCCAGCATTAAAGTAACTGGTGTTTGCGACCTGTGGGAGCAGTGATGTCAGTCCGCAGGTCACGTGACAGTACTCAGGCTGTGTGATTGGCTGCTAGATCCAAGCACGGTGACCGGCGAGGAGGTCACATATTCCTCCATACTCAGTAGTGTGACAATATTAGGACAGGTGGAAAGAGCAGCACGTGAACACTGGTAAGGTGAGCATAGGGCCCCTTTCCAGAGACGCTGTTACTTCAATAAGTGTGTTGCATTGACAACGTTGCCAATTTTAATATAAGGTTCTTGTCACGGTGTCTGCTGTCCCTGTGCCGATGGGGACAAGGGTAAATGATTGCTGGGAGTATAAGTTCATTATATTTTTTTGCGTAGCTGATCAATATTTAAGAGAATGGAGCAAAGTGGAGTGTCTGCAGTGCCAGCAGTGAACAATGACATGCCAAAATGTCACTTTTTTAGACCAGATTATTAAATATTGTTCTGCACACAGAATATTAATACACAGATCATGCAATGCAATAAAAGCAGATCATTGATATCATTGATCGGTGGGGTCTTCTGTTCTTTTAAATATGACCTTGATTAGTCATACATTGATAAAAAGAGTAAATATGATTCTGCAACGCCTTCTGTTTTTCTCTTCTTTATTGTTAATTCTGTGGTGCCACCTGGTGTATAATATCATAACTGTAAGTCATACAATGCAGAGTCAAACTTTAAATTTTACTGCTAATTTAAAGGTAACAGTTCATAGAAATCTACGGAAACCTCTACATGATTAGAATGTGCTCTAACGTGCAATAACAATGAAATATTATAAAAATATTTAACAATATTAAATTAATATTAACAGTTCCTAGAAATCTACGGAAACCTCTACATGATTAGAATGTGCTGTAACGTGCAATAACAATGAAATATTATAAAAATATTAAAAAATATTAAATTAATATTAACAGTTCCTAGAAATCTACGGAAACCTCTACATGATTAGAATGTGCTGTAACGTGCAATAACAATGAAATATTAAGCGTGCCTGTCTGTGTAATCTGCTTCTTTGAAGTAAATTTGTCAATATGTGCTAATATTTCTTATTATGTTTCCTTACTATGACATTTGATTATGTGTATATGCAAGGGGAATGGGGCTGGCCTGTTTGCATAATACATACATATGAAACACACCCCATTAGGATAACTGCTCATATTTCAATGGAAGTCTATAGACAGCTCAGGCTGTGGGACTAAGAAATTCCAGTCAACAAGAAAAATAAATCACTGAATTGCCAATGCTATCCTGGACACATTGCCATTCTGCTTAAAGTGGACTTTAGCTAGCATTGTGGCTGTTTCACAATAATAGAAACTGCAGAACGTCTGCCATTTTTGATTAGTCATGCCCTCCCTGGTGACCTTTCAATAAGAAAAGAGGATCACCAATGCATAACACTGTGGCACTGCTAATAAAGAATCATGGCCTGCATGTGTAAGAAGTCAGTATGGTTGCCCTTATATACATTCAAAATTACAAAGTTTACATTGAAAGGAGTTGTAATTATTAAAGTGGACCTTTACCCCCTTTCACTAAATATCACATCAGTATGCAGCTCTGCATGCTTATATAAAATCATCTTACATTAATTAGTTAAACAAACATATTTTTCTTTTACTTACAAATAGAGTTCATCCACTTCCTGGTCCACTTTGGCACAAATGAAGTAATCATGCCCAAGTGTTGCATCCTGGGAAGATGACATCAGCAGAGCATTGCTGGGAAATCTCTTCTGTAATCTCATGAGATCTCAGGGAAAGGCATTTTCCTTCCCTGAGATAATGTGCATGGTCACATGTCTAGTCACATGTGCCAGAGTTTCAGAAAGTAATGGGAGATCTAGAAATCTACCCTTAGTAAAAATGGCCACTGCCAGAAGGCTGGGAAAGAAGAGAAATATGGTATGCAAAGAATAAAAAGCCTGCAATTGTCTCGAAGTATCTGTTAGTAGATTGTCATTACTGAACATTTCTAAAGGTACTTTTGTTGTTATTTTAAAGATATGGGTAAAGTTCCTCTTTAACACACTTTAGTAATATTATTTAAACTAGATGATCTCTTTAATGTTAACATCTACAATTCTAACTCCTCCCCTCATCTTCCTCTTTCTCTAGGGGTCCACCAGGGCTCTGTCCTTGGACCCCTTCTCTTCTCTATCTACACCACCTCCCTTGGTGAGTTAATAACCTCACATGGCTTCCAATACCATCTCTATGCCGATGACACTCAAATCTATCTTTCTACTCCACAACTCACCCCCTCTGTGTCCTCTCGTGTCACTAATCTACTATCTGACATATCCGTCTGGATGTCGCAACACTTCTTAAAACTCAATCTTTCAAAAACTGAGCTCTTGATATTTCCTCCTGCCCGTGCACCTTCCCCCAACTTTTCCCTTGAGCTTGTTTAATACAACTATCCAACCCTCCTACCATGCCAAGGTCCTAGGTGTCATCCTTGACTCGGACCTCACCTTTTTACCCCACATGCAATCACTATCCAAATCCTGCCGCCTTCACCTTCGTAACATCTCCAAAATACGGCCCTTCCTCCCCAAAGAAACCGCAAAATTACTCATCCACTCACTTGTTATATCTCGTCTTGACTATTACAACTCCCTCCTCATTGGCCTTCCACTACACAGGCTATCCCCCCTTCAGTCTATCATGAATGCAGCTGCCAGACTCATTCACCTAACCAACCGCTCAGTGTCTGCAACCCCCCTCTGTCAATCCCTGCACTGGCTTCCTATAGCCCAAAGGATAAAATTCAAAATATTAACAATCAGTTACAAAGCCATCCACAACTCCGCTCCCGGCTATATCTCAAACCTGGTCTCAAAGTATCACCCTAACTGTCGGCTCCGCTCATCCCAAGACCTCCTGCTTTCCAGCTACCTTGTCAACTCCTCCCATGCTCGCCTCCAAGACTTCTCTAGTGTCTCTCCCATCCTCTGGAATTCTTTACCCCAACCGGTCCGTCTGTCGCCTACCTTGACTGCCTTTAGGCATTCCCTAAAGACTCCTCTCTTCAGGGAAGCCTATCCCACCTCAACCTAACCACTGAACCATCACGTTCTCAAATAATTCATCCCCACACAGCTACCTCCTCATGTATCACTTGCCCCTCCCTTTTAGATTGTAAGCCCTCAGGGGCAGGGCCCTCCTTACCATCTTGTCTTGATTTGTATTGTGATTGTAATGTCTTCCTTTATATTGTAAAGCGCTGCGCAAACTGTTGGCGCTATATAAATCCTGTATAATAATAATAACATCTAAGAACATTAAAAGGCTCACTAGGGATTTTGAATATTTTTAGCAATCACTTCCTAAAATGTTTTTGTGTTAGTATTCAGACTTTGTATATTTAATGGGAGTCAGATCTCTTCAGAATGATGGCATTCTTATAACTGTACTGTTTTTTGTTCTTCAAAGGGTTGGTTTGCTGGTAGAAATCTGGCCATCTCCCAAGTGACCACAAAGTACGTCTTGTGGGTTGATGATGACTTCATATTTTGTTCTCGCACCAAGATCGAGAAACTGGTTGATGTTCTAGAGAAGACAAGTCTAGACCTGGTGAGTAGCCTTAATACTAATACATACTTTATATTGATACCTTGGCACAATCAATACATTTTATTAAGACGCTTATACTGAAATTAAAGTTTTGGATACATTGCTTCACAAGCAAAGCAGGATTATCTCATTTCTACACATAGGGTGACTAGTTTGTGGTCACTGATGTGAATATTAGTATGAGGTAAACGGGCTTAATGCATGAATGCATGGGTGCTGCCTATGTTTGTTTATCTTCATAGGAATTTATTTGTTACTGGGTAGGACCCTGGATCTCAGATTGTATACAGGGCCTTGACTTCTGTCCAAGGCAGCACAAAGTCCTGTACCCTTTGCTAATACCTGCTCCCAAGAAACAGTTCTGTGCCAGAAGCTATATGGACGTTAGAAACACTGGCATAGGACTGCTAAATGGCAGGGTCATGAGTGGTGGCACTTAATGCTTAGATGTACATGCCAGATCTGGTACTCAGGGTCCTCTCTAGGTGTACAGGAATTGACAGAAATATATGCACAGGTACCTGCAGGCACCCAGATTGTCTGACCATTACCCGTTTTATTAGAATAAACACTTTCTTAACCTGGCTGGTTAACTATAAAGGTTTTAATGCTCTGGGATTGTCATCCTCCTCTGTGCTTTTAACCACTGATCCACAGCAGAAACACAGGTCAAGGGAACCAATTTCACAAGCTGCAAATTAATTTTTACACAATAACTCATTAGTGGATAAAGATGACTGCACCATTAAAAGCCCCCCAGAGGTACCAGAACCCATATTTATCTCCTAATTTTTCATGTATTTTTAGCTTGCAGCTTATTTTATAGATTCACCTCTAGTGCTCAAAAGCACTGCATGGACCCTTTGGAGTTTGATTTACTAAAAGCAAATAGGCAGTTCCCTTTCCAAAATTAATTTTCCTTTAGCTTAACGAATAAGGTGAAGCTCTGCTGACTTCCATTATCCAATCATGTACACGCAAAAATACAATTTTTTATTTTCTTTGCATGTAATTAGGTGTTCTTTGCACAAATTAATTTTTACAACATCCACTAAGCTAAAGGGACCTTCCCCTGCAATGTAAATCAGCCCCTTCAGTTCTAAAATATGCACCTGAGATATTTGAACCTATAGTGCAAATCAGGTGATGACACAGGAGTTAACAGATTAAAATAAAATATAATATAAAATAAATAAAAGTATTTAAATAAAAATATTTCATAAAGTAACATTTTTAATTCACACGGTGATGTTGACGTGCATTTTGTTCCAATCAGCCTTTTAGCTCATAGTGTGCTATAATGCGTTGTAATTAAATGCATTTTAAATCAGAAACCCATCTAAGTAGCAAGAATGCCCATTTATTTTCATTTGAAAAGTGCAAATGGGTGCTACATGCAGGGTTGTGCATTATTATATTGCATATACTGTATAAGATTTTGCATATAATTGATAAGATAGCAGTGTATCTCAGGAGGTTTTACTAGTTAAATTCTTCTTTGTTTGAAACATATTTAGTGAATGATTCATTCTGATAGAGATACTGTACATCTTTCCAATCCCAGGTTGGTGGCGCTGTGAGGGAAATTACAGGATTTTCTACAACGTATCGACAGAAGATTACTGTCCAATCAGGTGGCAAAGAAGGTGACTGCCTTAGCACGACTCAAGGTTATCACCATGTCATTGAGGGATTTCCCAACTGTGTGGTGGCCGATGGAGTGGTGAACTTCTTCTTGGGACGAACAGAAAAAATGTTGAAAGCTGGTTTTGACCCACGGTTGTCAAGAGTTGCTCATTTAGGTAAAAATAATTCACAACCTATGAATGAATTGCTCTTGCTCAAACAGGTTTGCTTCCCACAATTAACCACTGAAAAAGTATTGGGTGAAATGCAAACTTACCGTACTGGTCTTTTGTCTCCCACGACTAGTTTTCTAGTGTACAATGAGTATTTCCTATTTACTTACTTTACCTGGTAATCCATGTGTTTGCATTGGGAAATAATCATAATTATGTAAATGTGAAGCTGCTGCGGCATTATAGTAGTTCTAAACATAATCATTAAAATCTCATAAGCTTTAATATGTTAATGTTTTTTTAAAAGGTGCTTTCAATCTGTAAAAATAATGATGCAGCCATAAAGGTCCTTGTTCAAGCACTTCCTATAACGGAATAATAATTGGATCCCAATTGTGCCACTCCGTTGCCACGCTGTCACATAATGTACTGGTGGTGACTAGAAACAGCTATTCTGACACACATTGCACAAGCATAGTCAGCATGGTTTATTATCAGGAAGCCAGTTCACAGCAATGGTGTGCAGCTGACACTGGAAGGAGTGCCTGTAGACAGGAAACGCCTGAAAGAGAGTAGAGGAAATCAACATCACCGAGATGTAAAAAAGATGAAAAAAGTAATGAGTTCACATCTACTTTAATCTTAGTCACTGGGATCAACAGTCACTGTATAAATCCATTAGCATTTTAAAATGCAGTTTGATTAGGTCAGCATAGCTTTCCACTATGGTCCGACTATGGCCTACTAATAAAGTTGCATTTTTAGAGCAACTTTCAGGGCCCTGTCATACAATATCCAGGGCATGCAGCATTTTTTTTTTTATCGCACTGCACTGGAACGGAGGGCATTCCTGTATCTCATGTTCCGGTGCGGGCGATGACACTGCGGGCAGGGGGCGTGTCTGCAGTGCCATTGGCATGAATGGCACTGCCACTCCCCCTCCCACCCCAGAATGTGGGCCAGCTTGATCTATGCAAACATAAGCACTGGATATGGTGTGACAGGGGAGTTGCTGTTTTTGTACAGTAGTTTATTTGAAACTGAAAACCTGAACTTTAGGATAGCCTTTTGTAGGTTTGTTAACACTCTGGCTTGTAATAACTCCAGCACCCCAGTCCATGGATTTTCTCTTACATCTCCACAGCTGTGATATTATTTATATAGCATTACAATGATCAGTGTTGTCCACTGCACAAGCTGTAGTGTTTATAGGAACATAGAGAAATGATAGCATGAGTTGGATGATGCCCTCCCTTAGCCTAAAGATGAGATAGGGATGTAACTATTCAAGTGACTGGTGTGCAGGGATTAAGGAATGTTTGCTAGAACAGTCTTTCTGTAGTCATCCTATTAAGTCTCACAAATACCTGATGATCCCGCCAGTACAGTCCACCTTATCCTGTGAAAATGGGGCAATTCTGCTGCACTGCTCCTTAATTTAGAGCAGCGTTGTCATCCTCATGTTGGCTGTGCTTGCTTGTGTTGCAGTGGCATGAGAAGACATTGCAGGAGGTGAGGCTATCAACATTGTCACTGTTGAATGAAAAATCTGTAGCTTGTCAACGATCAGCTAGCCAATCCTAGCCCTGCCCGCTGCTTTCTGCATTGACTGCATTGGGACCCCTGTTTAGACTATCACACAGGAGCTTTTAGACGTTAACAATGCTGTAAGGGATGAAATGAGTCCCCCCAACACAATCTATTTATATATCGATCCATCTGAGTTATTCTTCGATATATCATTTTAGTGACTTTGTTATGACACAAATAAATATATATATATATATATGTTTGTTTTATTTTACGCAGAATTCTTTATAGACGGACTACGAGAACTGCATGTAGGTTCGTGTGATGATGTCATTGTAGACCATGCTTCAAAAATCCACCTTCCATGGTCACAAACGCAAACGGATAAAGAATATTCAAAATTCCGTTATCCTGAAGCATCCATTAGAAAAAATATCCAACATGAGTTGTTTTACTTTAAAAATCGCTTCAAGTGCATGACTGGAAACTGAAAGAACGATCCAAATGTTGTCCAATGAACAAACACATGAAAATGATATGGAAAGAATGATTTTTATTTTCATGAGCTTTGACTAAAGAAAACGGCTGGTCCTAAAATTACAGTCGAAAGTGCTGCTTTCCAAATCATTCGTCCTAACTGTAGATTTTGTCACCTCAGTCATAATGTGAGAAAAAAAGAATCATATTCTGCAAAGATTAGGCAATTACATGATATTTTGATGCAGAACAGCCAATGTATACTGAAGCTTCGGATATATCTCTTGGGAGCAGTGATAGAAACCTTCTTGGATCATACGGTCCTGAGATACAAGTGATTTTTTTTTATCACATCACCTTTGTCGCTTTTAAAAAATGAGTGGCAAATCACATGACTTTTGATCACTAAAGATGCTGCTAAATAAATGAACAGCGGGGTCACTGAAAAAGACTATTGCATATGAGGAAGCAAAACATAACCTGTCAGAGTACTTCTAAACAGTACACTGCATGGAGTGTGTATGCTTGTGGTGATATTTGGAGTATATGTCAGGGCAAAAAAAATGTTGTACATCTCTCCAATATATGCACATTTCCCCATGTTTCATTTATTTAAAAATGCTGCAATTACAGGAAAATGCTGTTGATCTGCCAGAAATCCAATGAGCTCCTTACTTCTTGTTGGAGTTGACTGAACACCGCCTGCGGCATTCAGCTATATCTTGGGAAAAAGAATAGGCAGAAGCACTGTAAAGTCTTAGGCACTGACTCTTCTTTTTTTACATAAGAATGGATCTTTGTTTTTTCCCTGTGCATCTGTCAGAGCTGAGTATCCAAGTCAGGGAGAATCACTGTAGCATGGCCAGTGGAACAGCAATGCCATCATAACAAGCAGATTTTTCATTGCTTATCGTACCTGGCTATGGGCAAGTGTGTAAGAAGCAGTTGCAGCATCACACTTGATAGGGAGGTTAGTACTCCAGTTTCAGAAGTGCTTTTCTGGGTGGTCCAAATGGATGTATGGTTTATGTACAGAAATTGTATATGTCTGAGTGACTGTGGTAGGGGCAGTAGATTGTAAGTCCTACTGGGCAGGCTTTGGAGTGAATGGACCACTCTTTACTATTGCAGATTATCTTAATATTGTATAAAGTGAATAATTGTTCAGTACAATTGCTTTCTCTGACATTTATACTTGAAAAGTCCACATGTGAAGACTTAAATGTAATCATAGTGTAAATTGGATGTCTGTTTATTCCAGTTACACACACCAGTTTAATACACAAGTGCACAAGTAACCTGTGAAACCTCAAAAATCATTTTAGATGTTTTTAAATATATGTATGATAGCAGCACCTGCATAAAGATCTGAGATTTGTGCCAAATTTGGTCCTAGATTTGGCACGTTTTGCTTGATGTATATACTTGGCTGTTTAGCAGAAAGATAAGTCCACCCAAACTGATTACTACATTTAGGTGGAGACAGGGATAGGAACATATGAAGAATCTAACCTGAGACTGGGTGACCTCTTCCTCGATTATTAGGTTTTCCAGAAGTGGGTTAAACCAACCAAAGACATCCAAAGCTGAGTTTTTAGTTCGACTTACCATTTGATTGTACTGATTTAGGGTAAAGACACACAGTTAAAGTAACACTAAACTGGGGAGTTAAATCTTAAAATTACATTCAAATACCTTAACTATTAACGAAAATGTATCTTATTTGTGTATCACTCGGCTGTAGATCCTCAAATCATCTCTGAATTGGTGCTGACACTGTCCTTCCTTCTGGATGGTGGCTACTTTTGTTCCCTGTGTGTGTTGTAAAGTAGCCACTGCTCCAAGCTCACTCCTGTGATGGACTACAATCTCATGTTTATTTACTAATTTGTATTGAGGTTGTAGTCATGAGAGTAAGCTTGGAACTGTGGCTACTTTACAACACACACAAGGACCATGGGGAACAAAAGTAGCCACCTTCCAGAGATGATTTGAGGATCTACAGCCGAGTGATACACAAATAAGATACATTTTTGTTAATAAGGTATTTGAATGTGTTTTTAAGTTTTAACTCCTGAGTTTAGTGTCACTTAATTTAGTTTACTAGACTGGAAAGAAGACAAATGTGTGTGCAGTTTAATCTCTTACTGACTAGCAGTTTTGGTATAGAGAAAGTAAAATAAATTCTGCCCAAACTTTGCCAGTTTTGTCTCATGGAGAAAGAAAACATATTTCTGATGATACCATTAGTTGCAAGAAAAGCCTCCAGTAATTTTAAAAGAAGACCTGAATTGTGAAGGCCGTGCCCATAAAAGTAGGTAAAGAGGATAAAGGCATATGGTCTACCTGTATCTAATCGTTCCCCATTACTGACTTACCATGCTTTCTTCTGCACCATGTGTCTGCATGAAGGTGACCGTCTTCGTAGAGGCAGGTCTTTGCTCCCTCATTACCCTCACTTGTGGAATATATTGTACAGATCCAGAAAATGGATGTAGTAGAAGCAGGGAGATGCATGCTGTGCAGGTGCTTGGGTACAGTTTTATCTCTAGTAAGATGGTCAGTGAGTAGTACAGTAGTGACATCACCAGATCTTACTCCAAACCTCCTGAGACTAGCAATCAGAGAGAGCAGTGAATTTGATATCACACTGCAGGTATAAAGCTGTGAAGCTGTAGGCGCAGAAGTACCTAGGCACAGCCACATTCCAGAAAGTCTTTTTTACAAGGAGTTCAAGACAAAGAGTAATTCTTTACGGGTACTGCTTAGTCACAATTTCTAGATGTTTCCTTTAACACAGCAAAATTACACTGTTTTAGTTCAGGTCCACTTTAGAATTCTGTTAATGGTTATCATTGCTTCCTTTTTCTTTATGACATTCCACAACATAACAAACGTAACCATAGAAACTCAATATATATACTGCTGTGAAAAAAATGTCCTCCTCTTCTCCCCTCAGCTATTAATTTTCTCCTTACTTTGTATTTATTTCTATTTTTTTACCATAAATATTTACTTTATTTTAATTTCTATTCATGTTGTTTGTCAATGATGTCTGTGTCCCATAAAAACTGCACAACATTTAAAAAGAAAAATATATTTTTTTTAAATTTCCAAAGAACTTTGCCATGCTTTGTACCAGAGACATATTTATTGTGTTATTTTAATTGGCCAAATTATAGAATAAATGTACACTTTTGATGCAGTGCCAATAAGCTTCCTCACCAGATTTTTTTCAGGTTCAGATCATCAGCCATCTTTATTGGCCAGTATGATGTAACTCATGTGCATGGTAGTTCATTCATCCCAGCACGTGCCAGGATTGTACACTGAGCTGCGGTGTAGAAAGTTTTCATGGAGGAAGGTGAGAATCTTTTATTGCAGTAAAGTCTTCTACAATAAACAAACCTTCCTGCTTGCAAATGTTTACATTTTACCTGACGTTTCTAAGTCTCCATGAAGTGATGAACTGGACCATCTCACAGCCAGTTTTGCAATAAAAAGTAGCAGTACATGAACAATATCACCTTAAAAACAAGACATGGGCAGCTCATTGTAAACCTTAAAGCTAAATTTTAGGCAAATATAAAAATACAGCAATAAATGCAAGTATACAATTACTAAAACATAGAAAAAAAATGTAAATATGGCGGCTAGTGTAGGAACCTTGACCTATCTTGATATCTGTCTCTATTATAACCCTGTACACCACCCCTATTACACCCCTGTACATTAGCTGAAAGCTAATCTGGTGTGCTGCATGGCCAAGACACATGCTGACAGGAGGAGAGAGCAGTGGATGACTCATCCATATGTTGTTGTTACTTCACTGTCCAGTTACCGGCTAGAGCCGCGGTTCTCAACCTGTGGGTCGCGACCCCATGGGGGGGTCGAATGACCATTTGCCAGCGGCTCCCGCCCGCCCGGGAGAGAAACACTTTCACCCAGAAAGGTTTACTCTGCTCGATCGAGCAGAGTAAACCTTTCTCTGCTCTGTTTTTTCTTTCTGACATCGGGGCCGCCGGCCGCCGTAAGTCAGAAAAAATAAAAACCCACCATAGGAATGCATTGCTAGATTCCTATTGGCTATTTCACTTTGCAATAGCCAATAGGAAACTAGCAATGCATTCCTATGGTGTTTTTTTTTTCTAATTCTGACGGCATACATAACGCGGCTATATCCACAGTTCAGCTACCAAAAGATTGTGCTTTCTACTCTCTATCTCTCACAATCTGCTCAGGTAAGCCTGCACCCCCATCCCCCCATATTGCTGCATTAATGTATTGCTGTGGTAGTGGGATTTGTAGTCCTCTATAGCTGATGGTACATTGTGCTGTATATGTACCATCAGCTATAAAGGACTACAAATCGCAGCAATGCATTATACACTTTATGTATAATGTACTATTGCTGGCATTTGTTGTATTCCTATATAGCTGGTGGTATTTTGCATTGCGCCGTATAATCATTATACAGCTCAATGCAGAATACCACCCGCAATATAGGAATACAAATCCCAGCAATAATCAATTATACGGCGCAATGGAGAATAACACCATCTATAGACGACTACATCAGATCCCAGCAATAATACATTATATAAAGTGCAATGCAGAATACCAGCAGCTACAGAGGACTACAAATCCCAGCAATAGTACATTATAGTATACATTATACTAGTACATTATACTATAATGTACTATTGCTGGAATTTGTAGTCCTCTGTAGCTGGTGTTATTCTGCGTTGCGCCGTATAATCATTATACAGCACACTCCAGAATACCTGCAGCTACAGAGGACTACAAATCCCAGCAATAATAAATTCTACAGCGCAACACAGAATAACACCAGCTACAGAGGACTACAAATCCCAGCAATAGAACATTATAGTATAATGGACTATTGCTGCAATTTGTTGTACTCTGGGATTCGTTGTCTCCTTTAAGCAGTAGTTTTCAACCTGTGGGTCGCTGTGTGATTTCTGCTGTGCTAGGTGAGAGTCCTCCTCAGCCCTCT